AATAAAAAGATAAGGAGAATTAATAATTACAACCGAATAATGAAATAAAAGATTACTATAAATTTCGAGTTTAAGGTTATCAAACCCTCTCTATATAGGGAAATGACAGTAGAATATAAAAGAAATTCATACTTCTCCCTTTCCAGAATTAGCAAGCTTTTTCTCGAAAATTACGAAATATAAAGCCGCTAACGTAACTAAGATACCATGACCAAAATCACCAAACATCACAGCAAAGAGGAACGGGAAAGTAATAATGGTAAATAATCCAGGATTAACTTCACGATATCTAGCCACACCGTACGCATCAACAATTTCTTGGAAGCCAACCGTAAACTTATTGACACGATGGAAAGTGGGTGGTTCTTTTGTAGTACGTAATTCATTCAGGATGGATGGCACTGTGGAACCTGAAGCATCCTAAATGAATGAAGGAACGAACAAATTAGATATATAACATTCACGACAAAATAAAAATAAAATGAGATAAAATAGGATTTTATATAACGTACAGTTGCATTCCTAAGTGCTTGATGGACTTGATTAATATCATTTTTAGGACACCAACCCTCAGCAATCAAGCATTTACGATTTACATCATAGTTGAAAAGATTCATTGTATGATAAATAGCTTTCTCCTTTTTAATAATAGTACTCCAAGCTGTAAGATCATCAGCCACCTTTACCAATTCAGCTCTCCTAGTATTATTAGTATTTTGTAGCACAGAATTTAAATCTTCGATTCGTGCAGTAACCTCCAATAAACTTTCTCGCCTTTTATCTGAACTATCGTCTACAGGATAAAGTGTTGCACCTAATGACTCTGAAATTTTCCTTATTTTATTCAAAATTTCTTTTCCGTGAGCAAATATAATAAACACATTCTTCTCAAGTGTTTCATCGGTTTCGGGATCAGTAATCGGTTCATCGATCTCTGCGTAATTCAGATATAAGTTACCACGTAAAGCTCGCCAAAGGATTCGCTCGAAGGTTTGCATTTTTGCTCTGGAGATTACACCGGTAACGAATCTAATTTATCACAATCGTCAAAGATTTTTTAAAATACTTTTTTCGATTAAAAAAAACAAGCTTAAATATTTTATTAATAATTTATGTCATACCCGAGGTTCTGTTGAAATCCTACATTTTCTTGATTGGTAGTAGGAGCAGCGCCTTGTTCAACGTCTTGATCAAGTAAAGGGACGCTAGGTTCATCAAAAGATTGACGAATATTATCTTGACGAGATACTGCCTAAAAAGGGAAATTATACTCCCTAATAAATTGAAGAATCGCTTTATAAAATTTCAATCAAGATACCTTAAGGACCAAACCTCTTCGAAGAAGACAGCAGTTTCTTTGAGCACATGTCTAGCCTCCGTTAATTCTAAATATCTTTTTTGTAAAGTTTCATGTGAGCTGTTCATTTGTGTAATACGACGTTCGTGTTCACTTATTTTTTCCTCGAGATCATCGACCTCTTGAGCATTTCTCACACGTGCACTAGATACATCGCCGGTTAAAGGACGAACTGGAATATCGGACTTTTCAACCTGAGCATTAAAGAAACCTATAAAACCATTTTTTTTTTTTTTATATATAAACGATTGAATATTAAAACTTCAGTTATAGATTTAATTTCAACTGTAGTGCAACTTTACAAAAGCTTACGAAGGTGTCTTTCCATTTCATCAAATCGTCTAATTTCATTTACAAATGCGCGTTGAAATGCA